CTCACTTTAGGGGTTTAGGGTTTAGGGTTTAGGGCTTAGGGCCACGAAGGACTCTTGGATCCTATCACGAAGAGGATCAGAGGACGTACCTTCCGGGTCCCGATACCCAAATCGACATATACCTAAACCCGAAACTCCGACACCCTATTCTGAAGCCCCTAAAAAAAGCCGCAAAAAGAAGCCCCCGAAGGGGCCGAAACATGGAGTTTAGGGGTCTGAATAACTAGAACGGAGTTTACGTACTATAAGTATGGCAACAACTTTTTTCTATGGGTGATAATTAAAGGGATGCTATCACTGGGCTTTTGTCCACCTCCTTTTCCGTTTTCTGATTACATGTCAATGCTACACACTCTCAGCAGAAAAATGCCCGTTCATGACCTAGGTTTTTCCTGTAAACTTGAAGCCAGAGAACCGATGCCAAATCACAATCCCGCCATCATGCCACTCCTTTCCTGAAACCACGCCCAAAGGTACCTGCTCCTGCTCCTGTTTCATAGGCCTTGGATGTAGGGTTTAGGGTTTAGGGAACTGCTCCAGGACTTCATGGCTGACGCATTAGGGTATAGCTGATGAACAAGACACAATCCTGCACTACTCGATACTGTAGGAATACAACCGTAATTCCCATAGCAGAGGGTAACTTAAGCAGGCTTCTGCTCATCAGCCGTATGATTACATGCCAAGATCTCGGGTTTAGGGTCTGGGGTTTAGGGTTTCGGGTTTGGGGTTTAGGCTTTGTCTTGCAACTGCAAGAAACCCCGACAGATTGCATGGAAACCGAAACCAGAAAGCCCTGAACCGCCCAAACCCTGCACCCTGAACCCTGAACCCTAAACCCTAAACCCTAAACCCTAAACCCTAAACCCTAAACCCTAAACCCTAAACCCCAAGCCCGCCAAGCCAGAAAGCCAGAATCCTAAACCTGCAAGCCCTCCTAGAAGGCTCTTGGGATGTCGGCCACTGCAACTGCTTCAAGGTTTTAGGGTTTAGGGTTTAGGTGCTTTGAAAAGTTGATTCTCTTGGGGGAAATGCTTTGGGGCTTTGGGTTTTGAAATCTCGAATTGGGGAGTTAAGGCGTACGTAATGCCCCCTAGACCTTAAACCCCTACACCCTAAGCCCCCTAAGGCCTAAACCCTCAACCCCTACACCCTAAGCCCCCTAAGCCCCCCAAAGCCCCAAACCCTAAACCCCTGACACACCCTAAGCCCGTTTAGGCTTTTTGAGGGTTCAGGGTTGAACTTTCTTCGGGCCTTCGTTTTTTAGGGGCTTCGGGCTCATGATCTGCGTAGGGCTCAGAGCGTAGGGGTCTAGGTTACGGTTTGGGGTTAGAGTATGGGGTTGATGGTTTCGGGTTCAGGGGTTTAGGGTTTAGGCTTTAGGGTTTAGGGTTTAGGGTTCAGGGTTGGGGGGCATCCTAACACTAATTCTTCAGACCCCCATATATCTTTTCCGGCTTGATAAGAAGGCTCCTCATTGCAGTTGAAGCCAAATGAGGTGAGATTCAACCTGAATGAAAATAGTGTTGCGTGCTTCGACAAGGGACGGTGGAGATCTTAAGCCCCGAACCCCAGACCTTTAAATCCAAACCCCACACGCTAAACCCGTAAATCCATAAACCCTACACCTCAAACCAAAAGGCCCTGACGCCAAGCTGCCGCAAGAGCAGCGCTGAGGCTGAAGGAATCGGGTTGTAGCTCTTCCTGGGCTTGGGGTCTTAGGGACTTTAGGGTTTAGGGTTTAAGGTTTAGGGTTTAGGGTACAGGGTTTCGGGGGCCTCTTCAGGGTTCCTTGCTTTTCTTTGCAGGCTTTAGGGTTTGGGTTTTTTTCGAGGCTTCCTGTAGGTCCCTGCAAGGGTTGCTTTAAGGGTTCTAAACGAGAGTCAGGATGTTCCAGATTCTGGAGATTCTACAGGCCATGAACCAGAGATCGTGAGGGTTTAAGCTTTAGGGTTTAGGGTTTAGGGTTAAGTTCGGGGCACCGTAAACTACGTGTTCAGGGTTGAGGGTTCAGTTTACGGTTAGGGGTTTGGGGGTTTAGGGTTAAGCCCCCACGAGTTCGAACGACCCACCTCCTTTTTTCTTGCCTAAACCCCCAACCCTTCAGAGTCAAGCACCAGCCCAAACAAAAACACTCCACCCGCAATCCTAAATCTGGGAAGGGTGGGGTTTAGGGTTTAGGAATCCGAACCCTAGAAATCCTAAGCCCTAAACCCTAAACCCTAACCACCAAACCATAAACCCTAAACCCTAACCACTAAACCATAAACCCTAAACCCTAACCACTAAACCCTAAAATTTAGAGGCTGCGCCTTGTATGAACGGCCTTTAGCGGCGCAGCCGAGGTGCGCCAGCGCAGCAGTTGGTTTAGGGACGGGGGTTCAATATGTATAGGCCGGGAGAAATTATTTTGAAATGACAAGCCCTCACGTAGGCTTAAGTAAATTGAACGCCGAAAAGAGTTTTACTAAATCAAATTGAAAATCAGTCGGAACGCTGCGAATAATTTAGAATGATATATGAATTGGCTTATATCTGCGTGTGGAACGACGGGAACGACTGCTGCCCTTGGTTTCGTGCGGCTGGCTCCGGGCCCATTCCCATTGTAGATGAAGTGGCAATATATCACAGATATATATATATATATGTATGGAATAAAGATATGCGTGTATATATGGGTAGTGATGTGACAATAGAAATAGATTAGGTTTCAAATATGGAAATATGAGAAGAGATATCGTCATAGATATATCAAAATTTGGAGTATATATGATATAGAAAATATCAATAGAAGCACCGGTATCACCTACAAACTGTATTCAACTCTACATAATTTTAGCAAGTATATATATATATAACATATATATATATATACAAAGTCATATATATATATATACACTACAAACAATATACAGATAGATATACAGACAACTACAACTTAGATCTAGGTGTAGACAACGATTAATTACAGGTATAAAAAGACAGATAACTCCGCAAATATATGCATGTTGAAAAATATACAGATATACATAATATATAAAAGAAATATAATCTAGATAGATAAATCTAAACAGTTAGATATACCCACACTTCGCAATAGATATCGACTTGGGTAGAAAAACGAAATTAAATATATCTGTAAATCCATATAAACTCGTATAAACCGACATAAATATAAATATAAATGTATCAATAGAACTAAAAACAAACATATAAATATAGACATAATATGAACGTGCATAGAAATCTAGATATGTATATGTATATTTTTATAGTGACACGTATATATATATATATATGTACATTGTTATAGGTCTATTAACTAGATACGGAAATATAAGGTTAAGTATATCGATATAGATACAGGCACAATTATAAATAGAAATGCAGATTTAGATTTCTATACATATATAGAAATAAGTGCGAAATAAATATACATGCATGAACCAATATCAAACACAAAGTCATAAAGATATAGATGTGTGAGCAGATATAGAAATAAATGCAACTACCAATATAGGCAGATAAGTGCAGCTACAAATTTATATATAACGAAGGAACTGCATGCACTCAAAAGCAGAATGAGCGATATACCGACGTTCAGTTATGCGCATATAGCTATGCGCAAATGTGTAGATATAGCCGCGATTGACTTAAACCTGTCCTCCGAAACTGAATATTTCAATTTTTATAGACCTGGGTCCACTCATGACCTCTAGACGCAATGTTGTGTCCATAATATTGCTTTAGCTTTGGATCTGCTCTGTTTCAAAACACATACTCAATGCGGCCTGTTATTTTGAGAAGAAATTTCTATTCTGAGCAGATACAAGCCTTCCAACCACCGCTTCCTTGCAACTGCCTCCTAAGACACTCGCTCTCTCGTACTCTGTTTTATATGTCATGCCCACGCACGCACTGCAGCGGTCTCAGGACTCTTCCTCCGAAATCCACATCTCCAGCTCCTCCGCAGCATCATCCAACCTTGGTCAACGGGATTGTTGCAGGCGAACTGCTGGGGGACTATCTGTGCTGGGTCCTGTGCACTTCGTCCAATGACCGTTTTTCCCAGTTCCTTGCTGGAGGGCTGCTTGCGAGCAGGCTCCATTCTTCGAGTCCGGCTGCCGAACTTTAAAATGCTAAGCGCCCGGCTTCAGTAAATGCTGTGCATGTTTATACACCCGGCTGTTCGGGTGAAAGCGGGTCACGACCTGACAGGGCTTCAACTGATAAACGGCTCCGGCTAGGGATCAGGGGGGCCTCGATGGCTGCCATCCGGCGTGTCTTTTTGACGCCGGCCTTCTTCCAGATCTTCTCGAATCTCCGCTCAGCCACCTCATTTCTCAAGGCTGCGTGCTGAAATCGGCTTCTAGCGGACTGTGTCCCTGGCACGATTCAAGTAACGGTCCCTCCGGGTCTCCATGACCTGGCCAAAAAGGCTTGGTTGACACGACGATGCTAACAGAGTCAAGTGGGAAGCCACCAAGTAGTGCGAGAGCTCCGTGAGCACGCAGTGGTCCACCTTCCTGAACCGCAGGTAGCCACAAGCCTACGTACTCGCAGTCAGACAACCTGAGAACCAGGGACGGACGGAACAGAAAAGGTCACAGCAAGGCGACAAAGCAATAGAAAAAGTGCGAGAAGGGAAAGACACGGAGAGATGAAGACACACAACCAGATGGAGTGAGGCAGAGAAGCAGAAACCAGCAAGGGCAAAGCCAGAAAGAGAAGCAAAAGAAAGAAGAACCAAACACAACATGAACAAGGAAAAACACACGAACTCTCACAGCGCCCACACAAACACACGAGAACACAGCACGCCTGGTCTTGCGCAAGATGTCGAGGACATGGCAGGCACAGTCTGGCCCCAAGACAATTTTCCGTCTTGGGAACCAGACCTGCCCCCTGGTTACGAGCCCCATCTTCGTTGCCACTTCAGCCTGGGCGCAAGCTAAAAGAACAACAGACGCCCGTAGAACGCAACCGTAATGAACAAACTCTGCACGCACGCCCAGCAGCGACCCGTTTCTTGGCTGCGTCCTGGTTGAAGCAGAGGGCTGCCGTGCTAAACTGGCTCGCCAGCAAACTCTCCACCTGGACTAAGCCATGCCCCAAGAGCACAAGCAGACAGTGAGACAGCGCTAAGCCCCCGACCATGTAGACGGTGGAAACTGGGAGAGTGTCGTCGACCCCCAGCGCCTTGCACATATCCCTGCAGTGCTCCAGGTAGGCCTTGACTGGGTAGATCTTCGGACAGTCTGTGACCTCAACGATTCTCACCAGCTGCTAGAATTCCTAAAGCACGTAACCACAAAAGCCACTCTCACTTCAAAGCCCGCTGCTTTGTGCGCAAGGGCCTGCATAATGAGGGCAGTCTTGGTAGCCACCTTGTCGAACAAATCCCTACTAGTTTTTTGTTTTAGCTGGACGAACGAATGGACCATGGGACACAGTGACGAACGGGGACGCCGAAACAAAATTGAATCTCAAATTTTTGTTTGTGTTTTCTTACGCGTCGCCGAAACAAATTTGTTTCGGAAACTGTCGTTTTTGGGTTGTCTAGCGCGTTGCTTCGCTGGCGTGCTCGTCTGTCCGTCTGTCCGTCCGTCCCTCTCGCCTTAATCGTCGGTCCATTCGTCCATCCGAATGGAAGCCGGCGAGATTTGCGGCAACGAACGCTTGAGAGGAAAGGGCCGGAGCCCTAAAGGTCGGAGAGGGTTGCCTAGGGCGCCAGCTTTGGGAGTCAATTTTGGGCTTTGGGAAACAATTTTGAGCTTTGGAAAACCAATTTTGGGCTTTGGAAGGCAGTTTCGGGTGTTTGGAAGGCAATTTTTGGGTTTTGGAAAGCCAATTTTGTCCGTTGGCAAGCAATTTTGGAGCTTTGGAAGGCAATTTTGGGCTTGGGAAAGCAATTTTTGGCTTTGGAAAGCCTTGGAGGACAATTTTGGGGCTTTGAAAGCCAACTTTTAAGTTTTGGAAAATATTGTGCGCTTTCTGTGAAAGCAAATTTTGGCAATTTTAACCGTTAGAAAGCATTTGTTGGGCTTTGGACAGCCAATGTCGTGCTTTAAAAGCAATTTTGGGCGATATTTGCGGCAACGAACGCATTAGGGCTAAGGGCCGGAGCCCCTTATTTTCCATGAGTTGGCCAGGGCGCCAGCTGCGCTGGCGGACCCTAACCACCAAACCCTAAACCCTAAACCCTAAACCCTAAACCCTAAACCCAAACCACTAACCCCTAAACCCTAAACCCTAAACCCGAACCACTAAACCCTAAACCCGAACCACTAAACCCTAAACCCTAAAGCCTGAACCAAAAACCCTGAACCCCCAACCCTGAACCCGAAACCCCTAAGCCCAAAGCTTACGAGAGGTCCTCGCGCAAGGCGCCGAGAAGATGCTGGGACGTAGGCCATGTCACGGCCTTTTGGATCGCAGCCAAAGATCCGGTCTAGGGCTAGCTGGGGGCGGGGCTGGCTGGGGGCTGGGTGGCTGGCCTAGCTAGGGGGCTGGGGGCTGGCTGGCTAGGGCATAATAAGGGCTTAATAAAGGGTTTAGTTTAGGGTTCATGGGTTTAGGGTTTAGGGTTTAAGGTTTAGGGTTTAGGGTTTAGTTTAGGGTTCATGGGTTTAGGGTTCAGTTTAGGGTTTAAGGTTGAGGGTTGAGGGTTCGGGTTATGAGGGTTATTAGGGTGATTAGGGTTATAAGGGTTAGGGAACATACCTTAAATCAAAACATCAAGGCGCCGTTTATTTAAGCTCTACCTTAAGAACCCAAAACCCACTTTTTTGTAGGTTCTTATTATACACCCTAATATGGGATTTAAGAGGGACCCTACAAAAAAAGTAGGTTTGGGGTTCTTAAGGTATTGCATCATGAAGGAGTATCTTAGTAAGTAGGTTACAAGTAGAGTTATAAGTACCGTTAATGGAGTTACCCCAATTAGAACCCTACATATAACCGACTTACTAAGTCCCCTGGACCCGAAACCCTAAACCCTAAACCTAAACCCGAAACCTAAGCCCTAAACCTCTTATAACCGAGTTACTAAGTCCCCTACTGGGCTTCTAAGTATTGCTTCATGAAAACCTAAACCCTAAACCCTAAACCCTAAACCCTAAACCCTAAACCCTAAACCGTGTTCTGAAGGAGTCTATTGGTTTCGGTCTTCAGGCGCCGGGCTCAGGGCTTAGGATTTAGCTTCGAGGGTTTAGGGCTTAGGATTTAGCTTTGGGGGTTTAGGGTTGAGGATTTAGCTTTGAGGGTTTAGGTTTAGGGTTTAGGATTTAGCTTTGAGGGTTTAGGGTTTAGGGTTTAGCTTTGAGGGTTTAGGGTTTAGGGTTTAGGATTTAGCTTTGGGGGTTTAGGGTCTATATTCAAATGTCTAACTAATAAAAGGGTTCAGGATTCAGGGCATCAAGATTGGTGGCTTTAGCAAACAGATTTTACGCTTCGATGTTTGGGGCTAGTTCGCTAAACCCTAAACCCAAAACCCTCAGATTCAAGATTATGGGGGTCAAGACTGAGGACGGGACGCAAGGTCTAGTTTCCAAAGTTGAGTGAGTTGGGGTTTAGGGTTTAGGGGTTTAGGGTTTCGGGTTTGGGGTTCGGGGTTTAGGGTTTAGGGGTTTAGGGGTTTAGGGTTTCAGGGCAGACAAGCATAGACTGTGCGAATTCTGGGCCGCAGATAACTCGAGCGAAGGTTGACTACTACTTCAGTGGATACAGATATTGGCAAGAACCTAGCCCTAAACAATAGGGTTTAGGGTTCAGGGTTTGAAGTTAAGCCCTAGACCCTAAACCCGACTGATGCATGTTCTCGTGCCCCTACCTGCCAGGCCTCTGTCCCTCGAACCCATGCAACCGATCAGGAATCTGTGGAGAAACAAAGTGCAAAGGGATTCCAGTCTAGGGTTTAGGGTTTGCAGGACCCTTATCAGAACCCTAATAGAATCGTTTCTATTTAAGGTTCTGATAAACTTCCTGTAAGGGTTTTGGGTTTGGAGTTTTGACTGTTGAAGAAAAAAAAAGCAATTACAAAGGGATTCTGTTTGAGTTCTAACAAGCATTCTTTCAGGATACGCATTGAGGTTGTTGTCCCATAGCCACTAAACTCGAAACCTCTACACTTTAACAGGTCGTACATCCCAGACCCGGGAACCCAAAATCCTAAACCCTAAACCCTAAACCCTAAACCCTAAACCCTAAACCCAATCCGGAAATCCAGACCAGAGACTCCAAACCCTGAATGGAATGACATGAACTTCATGAAATCATGATAAGGACTTCCAGGTATGTAAGCATTTTCTAGGGTTTGGGTAGATCCGAAACCCTAAACCCTAAACCGTGGCTTTGGGTAGATCCTGAATGTCATAACCCCTTTGAGCTCCATGTTGCTGATTGCAGCCAGGGGAACACGTGCACATGCCCAAAGCCCAGCATTGAAAGCCCTCAGCGGTTCGCATCGACTTAGCTTGGGGTAGCTGGGGTGGTACAGGCCTCAGGGTTTAGGGTTTTAGGGCTTAGTGTTTAGGGTTTAGGGTTTAGGGTTTAGGGAGTGTTCAGCTGCGGAAGCGCCCGAGGCACTGTAGACTTCATGGGCAACTGTACGTGTAAGGGGAGCTCTTCCAGTCTGTGGCATGTAGTGACAGTCCGAGAACTCCGCGGTTAAGTTGCAGGGTGAATCCGAATTTACGAAGCCCCTTCTAAAATCACCGCAAATATCCAATTATCAGAGCGCCTGTTAAAAATAAAAAACAAGACCCCTTCAGAACCCATTCAAAGCTGTTGAAACCCGAGAAAAAATAGTTGGACAAGCCCACAGACATGAAATCCGTTTAGCCAGGCCTCCTGAACCCGAACCCCCAAACTCGGTGAAAGCTTAGGGTTTAGGGTTTAGGGTTTAAGGTTTCGTTTTTTTGCTTTGGGTTTAGGGTTAAGGGTTTAAGTAAAGTTTAGAGTTTAGGGTGAAGGACTTCGGGCCCTGAAGCCCAAACCCTAAACTGGACCGGCGTCCGCAGGTCCGGAGCAACTCGCTGAGCAGCCATCTTGGCGAAGATTGAGAGGACTAACAGCCAGGGAGCACCTTCGGGGTTGGTTCTACTGTAGAGGGTTTAGGGGGCTAGACTAGGGCTTAGGGTTTAGGGTTTAGGGTTTAGGGCACCTCTGGGTTTTAGGGTTTACGGTTTAGGTCTACTGCAGGGGATTAGGGTTTAGGGGACTAGGGGCTTATGGCTTATAGGGTTTGCGGGCTTAAGGGACTCGGGGTTTAGAGCTTAGGGTCTAGGGAATTAGGGGCTTAGGGCTTAGACTAGGGTTTAAGGCTTAAAGTTTGCTTAGGGTTTAGGGGGGTTGAGAGTTCAGGGCTTTGGGAATAGATTCCAACCGGAAATCATAAAATCAGAATAGGACCCCTGGGATGATTTAAGGAGTCTTCCTTAATTAAGGGAAGTTGGAAGATCTTGCTTCAAACTCTTCAACAAAACTGTCACGTTCCTTCGAATTTGCGTTCCAGGGACAACCGGGGGTCAGTGAACGAGGGTTGAAGGGTTTCGGAGTTCCGAACTTCGGCGTTATGCCACGAAACATCCAGGTCTCACGATTCTTCGCCCCTGCAGGCAGCAAGTCATCAAGACTTAATGAGGTTTAGGTCTTGGGGCTTAGGGTAAAGCCCATGATTCATTCCGGGAAGACGTACATGACAAGTTGCAACAGTGGTCTGTTTCCAAGGCTGTTAAGTTCACACATGCACATCAGCTTGTGCCCTAATCCCCATAACATCCCTTAACCCTACTACTCCAGTGCCCTATGTGGCTGTGGGTCCTGGCTTCTGGTCATGTAAGACCTGTTGTGAATGTTATTGATCCTATACGTGTAGGCCTTCTGCAGTATCTGCCGCCCGAGGTCCAAATCGTAGGCCCAAGCCCACACTCATCCCGGCAACTTCATAGCCCGACACCGCCTAGCTCAAGGCCGAAACACCCAAACTCGAACAACAGAAAGACCCGACTCAACCCTAAACCTGAACCCAAAAGCACAAACCCGGAACCCCAAACCCCCAACCCGAACCCCAAACCCGAAACCCCAAAACCTAAACCCAAACCCTAAACCCTAAAAACCGGAAACCCCAAACCCTAAAAAACCCTAACAACTCCAAACCCTAAACCCCAAACCCTATAAACCCTAAAAGCCCGGAGCCCTAAACCCTATAAACCCTAAAAGCCCGAAACCCGAAACCCAAAGGTCCCCAGTTGAACTGGCCTGTCCCGAGGCTCCCCAGGCATGCATTGTAGGTAACGATGTTGGCGCTGAGCTGGGCGGCTTGAAGATCCTTCGTTGCAAGGGTTTAGGGTTTAAGGTTTAGGGTTTAGGGTTTAGGGAAGATTAAATTACGAAGGCTTTCGGTTGCAGTGTTCGGGGTGCCAAGCTGCGCGAGTACGCCCTGGATTTCCCTGAGCTTAGATAGCATCCTAAACCCTACGAAGCCCTAAACCCTACTAAACCCTAAACTCTAAGTCCTTAACCCCAGCTCCCGAGGCTCCCCGTAAAGCCTATAAGCCCTGTTTAAACTGACGGTTTAGGGTTTAGGGTTTAGGGTTTAGGGTTTTTTTTAACTGTTTGAAAAGGCCGGGCATCGGAAAGGAGGCCGAACGCTGCCTCCCAATCACCCGTCTCTTCGCAGGCGCGCAGGGCTGCGCTGTAGCTGACGACGGAAGGCAAAACGACGGCCACGGGCATGTCCTTTGCGGTTTAGGGGTTTAGGGGTTTAGGGGTTTAGGGGTTTAGGGTTTAGGGTTTAGGGCAGACGGCGTGGGTTTAGGGTTCCTTTCCTTTCAGAGGAACCCATACAAAGGTGACTGTAGGGCTCGGGTCTATGGCTTAGCGTTGAGGGTTAACTGTTAAGAGTTTGGGGCTTCTGCTTTGAGTTTGTCAGGATTTAGACCTAATACTGTACTGAAACCGAACCCAAATCCCTGCCTAGTCGGCGCAACGATCCATGGGGCACTTCAGAACCTTTGTCAAAGACCTTGCAAACCAAACCAAGACGCTCACATTTGCTGACTGTTCAGACCCCTATCTTGCATCACTAGTCCCGCAACCCTAAACCCTAAACCCGGAACCCTAGAGCCGAAACCTAAACCCCAAACCAAAAAAACCTACGCCCTTAACCCGGAACCCTAAACCCTAAACTGGCCCTGAACCTTAAATCCGATAGACCCCAATTCCGATTCTCAGACACCATGGCGACAGGATTCGGCAAGAAGTTCCAAAGCCAGCTGCCAGAATCCCCGCTGGGCGGTGGCGCTGATGACTGTATTGAACCTCTGGGGTTTTGGGTTTTGGGTTGAAGGTGTATGGGGTTTAGGGTTTAGGGTTTAGGATCTAGGCTTCTTTTCGGGCTCCGGAGGGTTTTATAGAGGTTTTGATCAAGATTCGACAAGTCTTTTGCATGGTTGCTCTAAATAAGGGCGTTGTCTGTCCAAGAATCAAGGTTGGGGTTGAGGGCTAAGTGAGGCTTTAGAGTTTAGGGCTCTTCAGGGTTTAAGGGCTTAGGGTTTAAGGGTTTAAAGTGCTTTGGGTTTCGGGGTATAGAGTTTAGGGCTCTTTAGGGCTTGAGGGTTCAAAGGTTTAGGGTTTAGGGCTCTTTGGGTTTAAGGATGTTCAGGCAATAGGTTCCAAGATGACCGTTCGTGCTAACCTAGGAGTAATACAAGGTGCTTGAACGTTCGGATCGGGGTTTGGGTGGTATTTAAGGCGATGAACATAAGAAGAAGAAAAATGTACATCAACCGATCATTCAGACCCCAACGGCGGCCCAAACCTCCCAACTCCCGACGACCCTCAGCCCTACTCCAGTGAAGCTTCAACCTCAGAGCAGCAGAAGGGCAGGAGTACTCAGGCTGACATTTCGAACGGGCTTGGGTGTGTTGCTACTTTGAGGGTTGGCGGATTTAGGGCATAAGGAGACTCACCCATCCAGCACCATCACTATGTAGAATCACCTTAAGCGCTGCAGTCTTTTCGGACAGCTGGCCAGGGAAAGGGGCCCCCTTATAGTTCAAAAAAGTGCAAGCCCTGAGCCCCACAAACCCCAAAGCCCCAACCCCAAGCCCTAAACCTTAGAGCGCATGCTGCAGCCGAGGTTCATGATGACATTCGGTCGCACCCGAGCCACCTTCATGGAAGCTAGCAGCGATATCCTCAGGAAAAGGAGAACAAGCAAGTTTAGATTTTGGGGATGTTTGGGGATTTGGGGCTTAGGGGTTTAGGCTCGTGGCTTTAAGGGTCTCGCTTACGGGTTTTTTCTTCAGGAAAAGGTGGAGAGCCCTGGAGTGGCACTGCCCCCAAAAAGCCGGAAATGCATCCAGCTCTGGGGCTCGCACGTCTTAGAATAGGAGTTCGGCTTAGGGGGACCCTTGTAGATATAGACCCTCTCAATAAGGTCCCTTTTCAAAGAGACATGAGCAGGGTTAAGAAGGGTCCCCTTTAAGGGGTCTCCCTAATACTACCTAGGAGAGAATTCGGGTATAGAGCATTAGTACATTAGGGTATAGCCCCAGAGACCTCAGAGCCTGAACCCCAAACCCGAAACCCTGAAACCCTAAACTCTAGGCGCTGAACCCTAAACCCCAAAAAACTAAACTCTAAACCCTAAACGTTAACCCCTAAACCCTGAAGTCTAAATCCCTAAACATGAACCCTAAACCCTAAACCCTGAAGCCCAAACCCTGAACCCTAAACCCTAAACACTGAAGCCTAAACCCTGAACCCTAAACCCGGAACCCCAAACCCCTAAATCCTGAACCCTGAACCCCTAAACCCTGAAGTCTAGACCCTAAACCCTATACCAAGCGACTTTCCCAGACCTTCCCCATATCCCTTCATGAAGGGACATACCTTTTAGGGCTTCCTTGGTTTAGGGTTTAGGGTTTAGGGTTTAGGGCTTAGGGTTTGGGGTTTGGGGTTTAGGGTCTAGGGTCTAGGGTTTAGGGTTTAGGCTCTAAGGACTCATATTCTAAGGCTCCAGGGAAGACCATACTATATAACGGGTTTGGGGTGTTCTGAGCCTTAGGCTTAGTAACTAGTGGGATCCATGCCAGAATTTGTTCAAGGTAGATTCCTTGATTCAGGGGCGTACCTTAAATCAGTACATTAAGCTTGATTTAGATATATACCTCAAACAAAAGTAGGGTCCCTCCCTGCGCCGCGTTGGGGTCCTGAGGTTTGCCTCGAGGGCGGGTTCGGAGTTGAAGGCGCGGAGTTCGAGGTTTAGGCTTTGGGGTTTAGGGTTTAGGGTTTGGGCTTTAGGGTTGAGGCTTTAGGGCTTAGGGTTTTGGATTTGGGCTCTAGGGTTGAGGGTTTAGGAGTTTAGGGTTCAGGGCTTCAGCTTTTGGGGTTTGGGCTTTCAGTTGATGGTATAGGCGAACACAATTCAGCTTCAGGTGCAGGGTTTTGTAGTTTTTACACAGCCGCGGTGCGCACGCTGCCACTCCAAAGCCCTGTCGCAGGCACACGCAGCCGCGCTGAAACTTACCACGCTCGGCGTAAGCAGCACCGCCTTAGACCCAGAACTCGACGCAGATAGGGGTTTAGGGTTTAGGATTTATGGGATTCAAGAGGCAGGGTCGCAGGGCCTAGGGTTTCGGGATGTTTAAGATTTTAGGGTTTCGGGTTTAAGGCTTCAGCCTTATTGCTTCGGGCCTATGTGGTTTTGAGCCCCAAAACACTAAAACCAAAAACCAGCCCTAAGACTACTTGTAGTGTTTGGGGCGTAGAGGGTAGGGTTTAGGGTTGTAGGGCTTCTGGCTGGGATGCAGGCATTTGCATAAGCCCTAAATTCTAGCTCTAATCCCGAAGCCCTCAACAGGATACAAACCAAAAACTCCTTCTACACTAAACCCCAAACCAAAAAACGTATACCATAAACGGTAAACCCTGGATACCTTGAACGCCAAACTAGACCTACCGTAAACCCTGAGCCCTATAATGTAGGCGCCTTAATAATTAGAATCGGGTTTGGGGGTATACTGTACTATAGTTCTAATAAGGAACCCCAAAAAATAGTATAGGTAATTATTTAGGCCCCTATGTTACTTCGTGGGTCTAGGCTCCGTAGGCAGAGTCCACAGACGGATGTAGAACGGGCACATAGAGGGAGTACGATGGACATTTCGGAACCTTAACTCTAAGGGTTACTCAAAGGGTTTAGGGCTTAGGGACTTGACTAGAAGGGCTATTACAAGGGCTCAGTACGGATTACTATCTGAAAGAAACAGGCCAGGGTATAAATCAGTGAGATCCACTGTGAACCATCCAGGCTGGAGGAATAGTTAGACCACCGGGCAGAACAAATCGACGTGACAGAGAGAACAACACCAAGAAGCAAGCGGTCAAATCAGGCTAGCAGGACAACTTCCAAAGCAACCCTGGGCCTCTATTCGCGTTTTTCTGTATTCCCTAATGATTCCTAATATTCTGGGATTTCGGACGAGGGTTGCTTAATCAGGTTCCTACATCAATTATGGCGGTTCATTATGACCGTTAGTATTCAGGCGTCTTGTTTTCTTGATGCCCCCAAGCACTTTGAGCTTAGTTGATGGACAGCCAAGCTACCGGCATGTCTGCTAGAAGCTTGAATGCCACCTGCCAGTGTGCAGCGCACCCGCAGGCGCTGATACAGGCGTTGTAGGTGACGACGGAAGCCGATATCCTGCCAGCAGGGTTCAGGGTTTCGGGTGCCAGGGTCCCAAGCAGGAACCGGATTTTGGGTTGAGGGCGAGCTGCTAAGATGGGATTTTTTGGAACGTAGGAGACAGGCATGTCCAGGTATTGAAGACCCGAGACTGCTACTAGCTTCATCTATCAGCCTATTAGAGACATAGTGCCGGTAGTTTGTTTAATAACCCCAGGGGTTATACTACCTCAAACTATAACAGAAATCGAAACATGATTCGTAAGGACCACAGAATCATAAGCTGGTGAGAAGTCCTCCTCGCCGACATTTGCGCCAAGAGTTGGAGTGTCCTGTGCCACTCAAACAATAATTAGAACAGGGTTCCTTCTAGGGTTCTTCAAAGCGTTCTGTAAAGCTTCCTATGACTGTGAGGTTGCTTTAAGAGTTAGTATAGGTGCATCAAACTTTCGAATAGGGTAGATACCAGACTTATATAGACTATAAGGGGGTCCTCTGCCACTCTCCTGCCTTCTCGCAGGCACTGGCAATAGCACTGAAGCTGATGATATCTGGCGAGATTCCAAGAGAGGGCATTTGCCGAAGGAGGTGCAGCGCCGCTTGCCACTGCGCGCACGTCCCGCATGCACTGATCGCGGAGTTCAGGCTGAATATCTCCGGTGCAATGCGAGCATTGGACATGTCTGCGAGCACCAAGAGAGCCGCCTGCCAGGTAGCGCCCTTCTCGCAGGAGCTGGCGGCCACGGCAAAGGTGAAGCTGTCTGGCAGCAGCTCCTGGCCACGAAGATCCGAAAAGAGTTGGAGGGCCTTCTGCCAGGCTTCACCCCCTGCACAGGCACTCATGGATGTGTTGAATGTGATGAGATCCGGAGTGAGATGGGTCTGAGGTATGCACTCCAACACCTCCAGCGCGACGGACCATTGCGAAGCGTTTTCACAAGCACTAATGCCAGAGTTGAAGCTGATGATGTTACCCCGGAGCCTTCTTGCAGGCATCTCCCAAAGAAGGGACAGGGCTGCTTCCCAATTTCCACCCTTGGCGCAGGCGCTCATGCAGGCACTGATGGTGACAACGTTCGGCCTGGTTCTTGCCCGGAGCATCTCGGAAAGGAGCTGGAGCCCCAAGTGCCACTGAGAGCTTTTCTCACAGGCGGTGATGCAAGTGCTGTAGGTCACCACGCTTGGCTGCAGCTCTCTTTGGGACATGGCAGACAGAGAGCCAAGGGCTCTCTGCCAATCTCCGCCGCTCTCGCAGGCTGAGGCGATGGCACTAAAAGTGATAACGTCAGGTGTGAGCCTGGATGTCCTAGTTCTTGATTGGGATAGGTTTGAAAATTCTAATCTTCTATTCCTTACTGAGTTTAAATACCCAGAAACAAGTAAAATGCGACCCCAATATGACAAAGTGTCTGCAGGTCTGAAAGAAGCTGCACAGACAGCTGCCATTGGCCGCCTTTGTCACAAGCGCTGATGCTTGTGTTGTAGCTGACCACATCTGGCACCACCTCTGAACCGGGCATCTCGGCAAAGAGGTACAGAGCTCGCTGCCATTCCTCACCCTTCACACAGGCACTCATGCAGGCGCTGAAGGTGATGAGGGTCCGTGCCACCCGGGCTGCCGACGCCTCGCCGAAGAGGTGGACGGCTTTTGGCCAATCTCCCTCCCGGGCGCAGCTGCGGATGCGATTGCCGATGCTGACAGCATCAGGCTTCGTCATAGTGGTGTTGATGGTAATGGTGGCTGGTGTGGAGATGTGAAGGCACAAAGCTGAGGATTCTGCAAGCTACCGCAGAATCAAGACACATGCGAACCTTACATAAACCACTGATGTACCCAACCTTGGTTTGTCCGATCTCTAGTCGTCTAACATTGTTCCAGAGAAGTCAAGCGAGGTTTGGTCCCTTTTCAGCCTTGAAGAGCTGCGGCTGGTCGCGGGGGACTCTTGGATATCTTTGCTGTGACAGTTTAGGGTTTTGGGTTTAGGGTTTAGGGTTTTGGGTTTTGGTTTCAAGTCGGAACTACATGAATCAGTGCTGCAACTATTATAGCCGTATCTGAGTACAATCTGAAGGGCTTCTAGCTGTTGGATTTCGTACCTCGAGGACCACAAGACCCAAAAACTCTAAACTCCAAACCCGGAACTACACCCCAAACACCAAACACCACCAAAGACCTAAACCCTCTAAGCCCTAAACCCTCAAGACCTAAACTAGACACCCCTCCAAGCCTCGACTCGAGCCCGCAGAACTGCTTCGTGGCTGAAAGATTACTTGGACCCTAAACAACCTACCCTTCTAAGGACTTGTATAAGGAAAACATGGTATGGAACCCCCAAAACAGGTAGGTTCTTTAGGCTCCAAGTATGGCTTAGGGGAGTGACCAATGACTAAGTTTAGGGAGATTTGTTGGGCTTAGAGTTTAGAGGGCTTCGGAGAATGTGGGTTTGGGGTATAGGGTCTGGGGCTTCGGAGAATTAGGGCTTAGGGTTTAGGGTTTAGGGGGTCAAGGGTACAGGGCTTCGTGAGGGTGAGGATTCAATTGAGGGTATGGGGCTGGCTTAGGGTTCAGAAAATTCCTTCCCTGATACTTGACAGCGTAAACTCCCAAATAACACTAAAACCTTAACCCCAACCCCTGAACCCAAACCCCCAAGGCTCTGAGCACTCGTATTTTAAGGCCTTCGGGCCCAAAGACCATACTATAAAAGGCTTTTGGGCTATTTTGAGCCTTAGGGTACGGGAGTGGGCTTTGGGCTTAAACCCTAAACCCTAGACCCTAAAGCCTACACCCTAAACTTTAAA